ACCAAAAGTGTAATACATCTTTTCACTGATTTCATTCAATTTTTCTGCAGCTGACATGAGACCAATATTTATAATTAACTCGGTATATATGTAATGCTACTTGCAGTTACGAATTTTTGCATTACAGAGCATGTTATTGCGCACGTGTACAATACGTATATAAAGGAAACTATTATTAAACGGGCAATTCACTGAATTAAAAGTAATATTTTAAATATTTTAACAATATTAGGATTCTTATCAAATAGTATATAACTATTCCTTTTTCACATATCACCGCGAAAAATAAGAAATAATTGCAACATAGAATGCATATTATATTATAATTTGATAATAATTTTAATATTGATAGCATGAAGAAGACATAATATATATAATTTTCATTTGGACTGGAATCAATTTCAAAGCAATGATCAATGTCACATCTTACCTAGCTTTTTGTTTTGCAGCTTGTGCGTTCGCCTTGGCAACTCTGATTCTATACTCTTCTTCGTCTTTGGCCTGTTTTACTGAGAGATAATGAAGACGCGCATAAAATGAAATAATTACGAGCGTACGGGACACTGTACGTGAAAACTAACTACACATGTATAACATTAATGAAAGACGTGTGGTCTATGACATTCAGTCATTAATGTTGCACTCACAAAAGGTGTACTGATTAATCCTAATATTATCTGTTTTCAAAATTGTTCGAATATTTAGTTGTAACTTTTCATCACACGAATTCAAAAAGTCAACGATACAACAATGCACAAATAACACAATAGCTTACAGCTGTGGTTAGCACACAAGAAGTCATTTCCTGTGGTTTAGATTTGTGAATTATGAAACTTAGTTGTATGTATTTTGACAAATTTATTATTAAAAAGACTTATAGAATGTTAACACTATTGGGAAATCACAAAGTCATAGATAGATGGAAACAAATTCGGGTTTCACCTATAAATATGCTTTAATTTCTTTGACATATTTCGCTCAAAGAAATAACAAGAATCTTATTAAGAATTCTGCACTTTAAATAGTGATCACGTCCAGATATCATATATGGCTTAAAACATTGCACAATGATATGCAAGTATTTTATGTGATAGATACCTCTTTTTATTTCTTCATCGCGTTTACGCTGCTTTTCCTCTTTCTTTTCTTTCAACCACTTCTGTCGGCGGTCTTCTTTACGGTCGACTTTTCGCTGTTCAAGTCGTATTTTCTTTTCATTATCATACATAGTCTTGAAGATTGCAAGTTTTTCCTGGGATCATAGAACTTATATTAGTATTTGAAGTGGTTACTTGAAGCGACTAATATTAAGAGTTAACAGGTAATTCAAATACCTTGTATACACACTTTCTGGCGTGGGTCAATCCTTTTACAAATTCATCTTTACTGGCCACCATCCGTGACAAACGATTTCTGTTTAATTTGGCTAATTTCCACACTTCTTTCAAATTTTGAACCTAGAATATCAAATATTCCACAATAAATACAAAATAGAACAACTATTATAACCGCATCTTATGTAAATACATAAAAGTATACTTGTGATATATACGAGTAACATATACAAACACATTATTGAGTGGAATGCCATTAATTTTCATAAATAAAAACCACTTTGTGTTAGCTCATTCAGTAAAATATTTAAATAATGTCACTGTGGGTATTATAAATATACAAATGATATATGTACTAATAAAATGATTTCAAAGCTATATATAAACACAAAGAGTATTATTAATATAGATGCAAAAGAGCAAGTGTTAAGTTGCCAAAAGGGGCAACTGGAAAATAATGTTCCAGGTTTCTCACGCATTTAATCTGTAAATGTGTATGTTAATGTTATACAACTCTTAAAGGGCGG